CTCCAATTTCTTTGACGATAGAAATTCCATCTTGAAATCATAGTTCAGTAATATCGTAGACCAACGCTGTAGTCTGTTTACCTTAGAACCGAATACACTTAATAATGGACGATAATCAGTTGGCAGTCTAAATTTTCTACCTAATATCCTTCTATGAAATTTCTTTATAGTAACAATTATAGCAATTCATATTATACTGTAGCATTTTTCCGTATTTGTTAAATTTTCCACATGGCCTAGTGAATTAAGTGATGGCTAGATCCAGTGACTGGACCCAAAGAGTTGTGAGTTCAATACCAGGCTACAGCAGTGGTGAACTAAAACTTTGAGAGTTGAGTTAAAGTGAAATAACCGAGACATCTAGAAGAGGCATGGCAAGTGGAACTAGAACAGTCTACCCCGATGGACGAAATAAAGGGTTCAGTTCGAAATTCCAATCACCTGAAGAAGGCCGGAGCATACAACGGCCGTAACATTGTAAATATGACAATGAAGATGAGGATAGCAGTCCGAATAATGTAAATAATGTAAGTAATCATGATACATCATCTCAGGGATATAGACAGTTCTTGAAGCGTGAGTGATTGCTTTTACTGTACCGTCTTCGAATTTACAGCCTATTACCGCTCCTATGCCTTATTCGCTTGCGCCCGACACTACTATTAACTGTTGGTGCGGAGTGTAATATGTCGGTGTAGTTTTTTTAATTCCTTCGAAAGTTTTTTGACGTTCCGCTGACTAATTCCATTTCGTGCCCTTTTTAAGTAAATCATTTAGAAGTGCTCGCAATTTGTACATTCCTGGCAAATAAATATAATAATAATTCGCTAATCCGAGAAATGATTATAAGGTTACCTTATTTGACGGGGAGGTATATCTTCAATGGCACTTGCTCGTGCGGGATCTGGTTTTCTTCCTTTTTTGTCGATTATCTGATCTAAATATTTAATCTTGTCCAGAAAGAATTGACATTTCTGAAACCGTTATCATGTAGTCTCTGAAATACGTCTTGAATCAGTTTTACGTACTGTATTTTCGTAGCATTAAAAATGCCTTTGACTTTTGTACATTTTTCCCAAATCCCCTGAGAAAATATTCGTGAATTTATTTTTTTAGTTTACTCAATATCTTTTTAGCTGTAATTTTTTTTTCTCTGACGAACAATCAATTTTTCACAGAATGAATTAATCGGACAATTCCAGAATTCAAATAATTCTAGCCAATCGACGCCTAGTAAATTTGATTTTTTTTTTTAATACGTAAATATCTGCTTTTTTAGCTTACGCGCAAGAGCGATGTTACACGTGATTTTCCCAAGAAAAATTAATTTCTTGTCCGTTATTCCTCTTGCAAATTCATCAGTTTTTCTCAAGTTAGTCTTGATAATTCTATTCAAAGTTTGTTCACCAATAGCTATAATATCGCTGCCAGTGCCCAACTAAAATATCACTGTAGCGTTATTCATTTGTACTGTCGCGAATTTTCTATTATCTGACCTTTGCATTTTTTTCTTAGCTGGAAACACTACTTTCAGTAAGTTAATTTGTGTAATTCTTTTGCTTTTAGACTTGCATTAGCTTCGTTTGTGACCTGTTTTTTCACACTTAAAAGATTTTTTGCTTTTAAATGGCCAGACCTTTCTGAGATGAAGCATATCACAGTCATGGCATGGGTTAAGATTTGCAGTATTTTTATTCCGTTTTTTGGGGTTTTTTTTTGTACTGCAGTCTTTTTCTTAACCATTTGTACTTCTGTCGTTCCATCTTGCTCGATTTTCGATGTATCGTGCCTTTAATTGATAATTTTTTGACACTTCTCAACATTCTGTATCGTTAACTTTAAATCCTGTTCCGGTTTTGCAAATATTCGAGAACGTATTTACGCATCGTTGCTTGATATCAAACCTTTAACGAAAATTAGACATTTAAATCTGCCTGAGGACAATTCATTCAGTTTAAGTTTCTCATGCTCACGGTTGATTTTACAGGAATATGTGACAAAATCTTCATTTTTGTCCTTAGTAAGGTTCATGCACTGCCAACGTATATAAAACAGTGAATTTTTTTCACCAAAGATTTTCGATAATATCGAAACTGTTTCGTTAAATTAAACTTTATTTCAGCAAGATGAAAATCTGATATTTTTCATGTTCAGCGGTGAACAGTTTTCGTAATTTTCATCCGAGAATCCTTGACATTCTTATCTGAAAATGGCCTCGTACCTTCTGAAGTACGATAGAAATGTAATTTATTCTGGGACGTAATGAAATTCACTAACTGAGTTAACGAATGAGTCCGGTGAAAAATGAGATTGACGCATTGTCTGTTCCTAGTTTTTCCAGGATTGCTTTTATTTGTTCTTGATATTCAGTTTGCTCATGTTGCATTTGTTGTAATATTTGCTGAAGAAACATCTTCAATTTTTTCATAGTGTATTTAGTTTGCACCAGTAGTCCCTAACTAGGAAGAAAAAAGTTTTTCCTTTTCCTAATAGCCGTATATCTATAACACCATTCACCGCTGCCTACACCCGGTGTTGTAACCATGTTTTAGTGGCCCGCTCCTTAGTGTCTTTAACCACGGGGCTAATTTTGCGCTGGTCAATGCTGACGTTGGTATAAGGTGGTTGTTAGTCGCTGGTCTAATGTGGTTGTTAGTCGCTGGTCGCTTCGGTCACATTAACTCTGCACACGCCGTGTTCTTGATATCAGAGCATTGGAAAATCGAATGTCGTAGTCTTGCAGCGCTGGTTCAAGCCGTGGCGGGTGCTATAAATCAAACGAGAGATTCGTGGGGTTAATCTTCAATTGGTTTATATAGCTATAGGTACAACAAAAATGAACCCATCCCGCATCAGTTCTATAGTGACACCGGGCCTTTTCTAAACTTCTGGATGAATTGCGTTCAAAGTCTTAGAAACAGGAAATCTGGTTACCGCTGACGTAGATTCAAGGAGCACTCGATGTCGGATCTCGGCTCAAATTCTCCGAGCTTCTGCTTATATGCACTTCGGCCCATAACTAGCATGGGACCGAAAGATATTCGGGGTTCGGTGATTCCTCAATTTTCATTAATTCCAATAAAGATTTTCTTTGTTCCCTATTTCTGCTTTCTTAATCAACTTTCAAAATTTGGAGACTTATCCACCTTCCTTGGGAGTAGTTACAGAGATTGTTCCTCCCTTAACTCCAACAACTTCACTTCACATTACATCTCGCACCGCTACTCCACACAGACGCGTGAAATTCTACTTCTTTTTCCTTCCTTTTCGATATTATAACTCTCCCCACTTCTCGGGGCTGGAATAACTGTCTTTGTGACAAATCTAATTTTGAAAGTGCTTAAGAGAAAGGGTGTGGTTTATTCTCCTCATTAATTTAAATTCTCTGACACCTTTCCCGGACCAACCTGTCAAGCAAAAACATAAACCAGAACACCTTGTCATTTTAAGCTTCCGAGCGATAGATAAAAAATTAGTTTCCAATTTTCTTTCGTCAATAAAAATGTATTTGTTTATCTAAATTCTCATAAAAAAAGACACGCTATTTTCCATCTTTGGGCCGGTCGCCGTCTCTGGGAGAACATAAACCAGATCGCCTTTCTCTTATGACGGATCGTTTTTCATAATCCTAACCCTTGCAGCGGGTTCATTTTCTGTTTTCATTTCTCAATTCTTTTTCGGTAACGGAAATATAATTCGCGTCTACTTCTCTTTTCGCCAATGACAAGCGTGTTTTTCTAATTTCCCTAGATAAAGTCATTTTCCAAACTGCTTTAGCCGTATGCCATATTTTCGATAGATAAAAAAGTATATTCTTGGTAAATCGTTTCTATTTGTAGGGACGAGGCAAACCATTTGGCCCTTTTTTCACTTCAACTTTACCGGGGGAAATGTCTTCCATTTTCTCTTTGTATCTCTCTAGTTTATATTTCATTTTAGGGTTGACCCTTTTTCTGCTAAACATTAATGTTTAGCTATCTCACAGACTCAGCGTTACATATTATACAGCGTATTCTACTTCTGCGTCACGCTATGAATATACATGAACTCCAACGACATTTTTCCCGTGAATTTTGAAATTCGCCAGTTATTTATGCTAATCGAAAGGAAACAAAAATATTTTTTTCGTGTTTTTTTGTTTTTTTTTCGAATTCTCGCCGCCACTGCTATGTCAACATTGCATTGAATGAAGATAAAAAAATCAGGAAGTTGCATGTCACTTGGAGTGACGTAGTCTTGTTGAAACAGGTAGGAAGCGGATAAGCTAGCTCTAACTCTTTAATTGCTTACTTCTTCTACTGACGATTCTTGGCGCTTGTATTTGGACGAGTTCAAGTTCTCTTCTGGTGAGGTGTGTTCATCTCTATAACACTTCTTAAAATCAATGACAAAAATTATCCAAACTATATTTACCAATGTTTACTTGATGAGTTTCCGCTTTTGATGTTCTTGACGCCCAGTTCATAGAAAGTGCACTGAATGAGCCACGCTGAAGAATTTCAAGCCCAGTATTAGTCAACTTTAGGGACAACCGAGCCGAACATTATTTCTATAGGGCTTTAAAAAAGAGGAGTAAGAGGACAAACATAAAACTAGAGAGTGGGCGAGTGAATGTGTTATTTAGAAATTAAGCATGTATTAGAGAGAAAAAGTGTTGGTGAAAGACGCAGAGAAAGAGAAGGAGAGAGGGAGAGAGGTGTAAAACAAAATGGCAGAGAGGAAAAGGGCAAGACTTCTTGAGAGAGAAACTTTTTGATAAAGGTGTTAGGGTGAGGAAGAGAAACGAATACAAACAGAGAGAGATGGGGACGGGCAAGAATAATAAGAATAGGTTTTCAACCGAAGGCCAAAAGCGATACACGATACATATGAAGAGGAAAAACAATGATGGCAAGTGTCTTTAGCGCACTGAGCGACACTGAGGAACTATCAGGGGTTAAGGCGAGGAAACTGAATGACAATGATTGAAAAAGAGAAAGAAGAAACAAACAAAGAAGGTG